TTTTTTTTTTTTTGGTTTGAGACAGGGTCTCACTATGTAGTTGAGACTGACCTGGAACTCACTGTGTAGCCCAGGCTGGTCTCAAACTCACAACGCTCCTCCTGCCTCAGCCTCCTGAGTTCTGGGATTACAGGTGTGCGCCACCACACCCAGCAGATAGCAACTATTAATATCTCAAAACTCTAATGTAGGCCAAGGACTGGGGCTTTCAAGTTGCATGCATATTTTGTTGGTCATTACTTTGTCTACTGGTTATCAGACACTAGCAAGGTGAAAAGGGCATAGTATCTTTGACACATCCCTTCATTTCATAGCCTGCACCTCTAGAAACTGATTTTGGGGGGGCCAGGGATTTATCTCAGCAGTTCCGCCGCCTGCCTTGCAAATGCAAGGACGTGAGTTCTACCTCAGGTACAAAAAAAATAAGAAAATAAATAAAATCATTTTTGGGTGCCAATTATTTCAAAAGTTAAGAAAGATTTCCACTACATGCATTTGGCCTGTGGGATCTGCAGACATTGGCCTACTGGGCAAGTTTAAGGAGGAAACTTACCATGGGTGTGATGGCACAAACCTGTAATCCTAGGTACTTAAGATGCTGAGGCATGGAGATAGTACGTTTGAGTCCAGCCTGGGCAATTTAGCAAGAATCCCGTGCCAAAAGGTATGGGGAGGATGGAGCTCAGTGGGAGAACACAAATGAGGCCCAGTGTCAAGAGTCATTCTACATAATTCTGGGGGAAAAGTCATCTCATAATTATAGTATGACTATAGCTAAGGCCCAATGTCACCTCAACCGCAAGCCAGCTATGGCATTCAGAAACTCAACTGTTCTGCCTCCCATCACAGTTGAGGCCTAAATGGTCCTGTGATGCTGTCAAAATGCTCAAGGGCAAGAGTACATCAGCTGAAGCCATCCTTGTTCTTCTGAGAACCTAGTAATAAGAGGTTTTTCACCTGGAGACAACGTGTTTATTAGCCTGCTATCCCACCCCACCTGCTATTGTTAAGAACGCTCTCCTTTCTGTCCTCATCAACTTAGTACCACCACCCTGAGTCACCTGATTATTGTATAAACCCAGTAAACAGCGGTTAGCTGGGAGTGTTATCTTTGCCCACTGAGGCACTGACCACCCAGCCCGCCCCACATTTTGAAATTTTTCTTTAGCTCCTTTCTAGGCAGTTGGAAGAGTGACTGCCATCAGATGGCCCATGATTCAATCCCCATACCGGAAAGAAAAAAAAAGTACATACAAAAGCTACCAATGGAACAGTACGTAAATCAAGCTCAGTGGATGCTTTCCAAATAGCAAAGAGAAGCTGGGAGCAGACTCCTCAGAGGTGCTCTTGGCCTGCTATCAGACCGCAATTGTGTGGTTTTTTTTTTTTTTGGTACTGGGGATCAAACTCCACACCTTGGGCTTGCAAAGTGAGCAGTAGAACCACTGAGACCCAGAATTGCACCTTGACAAACTTTTGGCATGTTCACTTCTTGCCACGAATTTTTTTTTTTAAGTACCGGGGATTGAATTTGGGCCCTTGCACTTGGCAAGGCAGGTGGCGGAACCACTGAGCCAAATCTCGCCTCTTTTTTAAAAGTTTTGTTTTCAGTGCTAGCAATCAAACTCAAGAGTCTCAAGCATACTGGGCAAACAGTACCACAGAGCTAGTACCTCAGCCCCTGAGTTCTAACAAAAAAAAGAATCAGTGTGTCTGTTCACTCAAGTGAACACTGCTTAATGGGTGCAGTGGCAAGTAAGGAGTTCAAATTATAGCTTTGTGCAAATGAGGGCCAGGATTTAGCTCAGTGATGCCACGCCTTCCTGGCAAGTGCAAGGTCCTGAATTCGATTTCTAATACTGGGGGCAAAAAAGGACAATGACAGACAAGGTTTCTTTGTTATTTGCACCCCAACTGTTTTTTTGGGGGGGTACCGGGGATCACACAGGACCTTGTGTTTGTGAGGCAGGCGCCTCAGGTGCCACTGAGTTCCCTGGACCCTGAACCCCAACTTTCTGTGTAATAGGAAACTATGTTTGGGAAAAGGGTACTCACTCTCAAGGCAGACTGTGGCCTGCTAGCAAGGTGTACTGTAGGTTACACTAGCACTGCCTTTCTCCTAATAGGAAAAAATTGCCCTAGCCCAAGCCTCCTAAAGCCCAGTTATCTCCCAACATCAGCATCACTCCCCCAGGCTCAGGCCACTGGGACATGGGGCACTGTTCTTCAGTGCAACAGGGGCCGGGGATTTAGCTCAGTGGTTCTGCCACATGCCTCGCCAGCACAAGGTCCCAAGTTCAATCCCCAGTACTGAAAGAACAAAAAAAACAAAACAATGCATGTTCTTCAGTGCAGCATGACTGGTGCCTGAGCTTAGACTCAGGGGCCCTGCAGCTGCCAGCTTGACCCTAATGAGCACACACCTAACAAGGTTCCTAACCACGGTCAGTTTCAACAGCACAGTCCTGGTACTATTAAAAACGAAGTAGTATTTTTTTATGTATGGTAATAGTAGTAGGTCCTTATTTTATACATTATAGTGCATGCCTGTAATCCCAGCAATCAAGAGGCTGAGGCAGGAGGATCACCATGAGTTCATATAGTGAGTCTGAGGCCAGCCTGAACTACATAGGGAGACCCTGTCTCAAAAAGAGCACGAGGGCAGGGGATTTAGCTCACTGGTGCCTGCCTGCCTCACAAGCATGAGGTACTGAGTTCAATCCCTGTCACATCAAAAAACAAAAGGAAAAAAAAAACTCAGATATTGAGGCTGGGCATGTTGGCACATGCCTGTAATCCCATCACTTGGGAGGCTGAGGCAGGAGGATTGTCATGAGTTTGAGGCTAGCCTGGGCTACACAGTGAGCTCAAGGCCAGTCTAAACTATACGGCGAGACCTGTCAAAATGAGAAAAAGGCCCTTTCAAAATGCTGTGAGCTACACCTGACCAACTTGGGAACATGTGGTACCAGGAAACTGACAGTGTCTTTTGCCAATGAAGGTGTCCTGGAATCATCTTGCAGATTCTAAAGCAGGAGATCAGTTGGATGATGCCAGAATAAGGTTCTCCTAAGTCTCTTGGACATTTATTTCTCTGCAGGCTGGAAGCCTTGTAAAAGTTGGCACTTTTCTAAATAATCAGAGATCACAGAAATGCCACCAACCGAGGAACAGACTGAAGAGTCCATGAGAGAAACACAATTGTTCTTTGACATGTGCATGCTTCAAAACAGCTCATGACATAAAACAGAAAGACAATTTTTTAAAATTGTTTTATTTGGGAAAAGTGCTTCTTACAAAAGGGCAGCTGTAAAATACAGAGACCTCTGCAACAATTAACTTTTTTTTTTTAAGTGAAAGAATGCGTGGGGTCCGAGGAATCAGAGCAGTAAATGGACAAATCAGGAGCATCTCCCAAGTCATTTTCAGGAAACAGTGACAAAATGCAAAGATAAACTTCCCATGGAAGAATTCTTCTAACAAGTTAACTTAGCTTATCTTGTGAATCACCTCACCCTCTCCTTAGTGGTAGTGTGACTTATTGCTGCCAACCAGTTACACTGCTACAACAAACACCTTTGGGAGCAGTGAGTGTAGAGTTCCAACACATCTGTCCACCTGCACAGGTGGAGTGGAGAGGCAACACCCACAAAAACAAACAACCCCTACTGCAGAAGCCCTCAAATGAAGACAAAGCTTGTTCCAAAGTGCCTGGACCAGAAAAGTGAGACCATAAAACACGAAACCCAACAGTGTAGCCAAGCCCGTGGTTGTTGATGGAGGGGATAACCTGGTCACTAACCTCCCTGGCTAACCCACTGGTAACTAGACTGACAGCTAGCACGGCTAAATGAACTACTGGTACACTGCTTTGTCCTTCCAGATCTATGGGCCACATGGGGCCGACACCACAAAACCAAGTCTGTCCACTAACCCTAAGAATACCGCATCTAGGCAGTGGTCGAAGCTTCTTGCATGCCTGTTCATGCCCACACACCATGTCCTCAGCTCCTGGGTGTCCACAGCCAACCCTGCACCGATGGATGCCACCAATCCATGTGTGTCCTTCCCAAGTGTTCCTATCCTGCTAAGCTCACACTCACACCTGGTTCTAGCTGCCCAGTAGTATGTGTGCGCAATCAAACAAGAGACCAAAACCACAGGACAAGTGCACGGGGTCGGGGGTCACAGGGGAGGAACAGTCACAAACACAGACGGTCGGGCCTTCCAGCAGCCAAGGACCCATTGCTACATCCGGAGCAGAAGGCTGCTTACTTGCCAGCTCAGGTCCCTTTACCTGGCACCCTACTCTTGGACCCCAAAGCACGGCCAGTGCTTTTCCATTTGAACCTGAGAGCCTCGAAATGAGTGTGGAAAGTCCATAAACACAACCAGGCTAAAAATAGGTGACGCAACAAACCTATGCTAACTGTCTGACAGTTAAATAGATGTTACAAAAAAAAAACTAACTTGAAGATTTATTTTTGTAACTTTTTGAAACAGAAAATGCACTCTTGGGGAAGTGGGGTGGACAGCAGGCCCTGGTAAGTGGTCACAACAGCACCTGGAGTTGAGGCCTGACTAGGAGAGCAACCCACTGCCACACGGCACAGGGGACAGCTACTGTCTGAGGCTCGGCAGGCCGTTCCCGCGCCACGCAAAGCTGCTATAGGTCCAAGTCATAAAAGTCTTCCAGCTCATCATGAAACAAGTCCCACTCGTCCTCAGAGTCAGTCAGCTCGTCGTCCCCACCTGCAGCCAAAAGCATAAGCAACATCTCGCCCAGCTCAAAGGTGACAACCTCCTCTTCGTCGTTGTCAAAGGGGCTGCTGTTCTCTCTTTCCTCAATGAGCTCCCAGAAGTGGTTCCTCCGTTGGGCCTGTAAGAAACAAGGCCATGATAGGGGTGGCACTGCTGGGTAGTGTCTTCTATTCTGTCACTTACAAGGCAAAGCGTCCAAACTTCGGATTTCTGGTTCCACCCGACCAATGCCTCCCCTGGGTGGCTCACTGTAGGCTGGCTAGGCTAGGGCTTGGCACACTCGATTTCTCCTGTTCTGCTATCTGCTACCCCTCCCGGGTTCTGATCTTTCCTCCTCAGGGTCTCTCCAGCCTCACTCCCAGACCTGAGTTTCTAAGTTAACCTCCTGCCTCTTCCCCAACATGTGCACAACTCAACTGATAGCGGGGCAGTCCCCTCCTTTAAGAAAACAGTGAGAGTTACCCGGTATCTGCTTGATGTTCCCACTTTCTGTCTCTGTGGCTCCTCTCTACGGCCATCAGGGTACGCATGCTTGTAAAAACAGTTCCCTCCAAATGGGCAGCTCCCACGGCCTTCATCAAAATACCTGCACGCCTTGTTGCTGGAAAGGAAAATATCGCAGCCCTTATTCACAGTGGACTTCAGGTCTGTAAGTGACTATTCACCCGGCGTTACACGGGGAAGGACAGAAGCAGATGCCGGCACGCAGCCCTCCCCGAGGTATGCGCTCATCAAGATGTGTGCTAACGTGAGAGATGCTAGAAACAAACTCTATTTAGGTCTACACTGTTTACCAGCTCTAGCACCACTGATCCAGTAGAGCGCAAACCTTCTAGAAAGCCAACACACAAGAATTAATACAGGACAACTACAACATGGACTCAGACTCAGGTTGAGGCAGAGCCCATGCCTAGGCCTCATTGACCACTGTACAGATGTGATTATAACGCAGTCCCTTGGCATGCACCCCAAGGACTGTGTTATAGCAAGATGCAAACTGGTTAAGTGGCATCAGAGTGACAAGAAACCGCACTGGGGAGTTAAAGAAAGGGTAGGAAGGAGGTAGGAGTGTGTAATGCAGCACTGTTCTTTCCAAAGTGAACCCAGGCTGCTGGGCTCTCGGCTTGAGAAAGGCTGCAGTGCTCATACCTCATTGCCTCCTTGTATTTCTGAATGAGTTTCTGCTTCTCTTCTTTCTCCTCCACCCAGTACTCACTTGGAATGACAAAGTTAGATGTGATCCGGCATTCAGGGCAGGACCTGGGAAACAATGAACAGGCTGCAGTGCTCGTCCCGCCAGGGAACAAGGACACACCCCGGTGTGCTCCCTGACTTAGCGTGTGCTCCCTGACTTAGCGCCTGGGCCAAGGCTGTGGGCACTGCCTGACAGGGTCACCCTGTCCCACACCGGCCCTGTGAGGCAGGACAATCGCCTTCATGGATTCAGCTCAACGACTAGCCAGTTTCTTTTTAAAAATAGTAACTTAAGCTTAAAAATCAACAAAAGAAGACATTTCACACAGACTCCTTTTTCTTTCGTTGAAATAAATTTATTTCTTGTCACTTTGCTCTGTTTAGATTATGTACTTTGTTCAGTTATGAGAACAATCTTAAAGGATGGTGGATTGTTGGCTAGCTTAATGAATGGAATAGGAAAGTGGAAAATGTCAAACGTCAGGAAACATACATTTAGAGCTAGTTTCTCCGTGGAGCCTAAACTGGCTAATCCATTAAACACAATTTCCTCAGAAAAAGCACGAAAATCCTACAAACTGATACACAGGGCTTCCTCGTTCAAATAAAGTAGAGATTGACTACCCAGCAGCTAGCGAGATACAAAGAAGGAATCCCAATTAGAAGAATACCCAGTGTCAACATAAAATGCATGCATTTAAATGCGGTCCGTCTGGTTGAAAGTTGGCACGAGATAACTACATTCTTCCCCAAAATAGAAAGCACAAACGAAGACTGGGAGGAGTCTCACTTTATGATCTTGCTCTCAAACTGCTTAGCACTCCTCCACTTGCGAATACACTTGAGACAGTAGGTGTGGTTGCAGTTGGAGAGGATGCCGAAGCGGCGCTCGCTGGGGTTGGCTTTCTCATACACCACCTCCATGCAGATGCCACACACCATGTCCTTGCTGCGCTGCACGGCAAACGACAGCTCCATGTCCTTCTCGTGGGCCTCGATGCAAGACTGGAAGAGAGAGCAAAAGGTCAGTAATTGGAACTTTGGAGATGCCGACTCCACATTCCATGGCGCAACTGGCAAGGGCGTGCCCCAATCCGACTCCAAAAGGGAACACAAGACTCCTGGCAGTACTGTGACATCAGTCAGAGTATGAGGATTAACTGACCTCAGGGATTGAAAAATCACCCTCTTTAATCTAATCTTATACCTCCACCCTGCTACCAGCCAAGTCAATGACAATTTTCCATACTAAGTGCATGGACTTTGTTTTCCAGATGGACAATGTAATTAGGATTAAGGATCTAAATTAAAATCTGTGAAATACCCGCCTCACCTCCTGGGGGGGGGATAAAAAAAGCCCCCTCACCCCCTGGGGGGATAAATAAATAAAATAAAATCTGTGTGATAATAGGGTAAAGGAGCCAGGCAAGGTGGCACACATTGGTAATCCCAGCACTTGGGAGGCCGAGGCAGGAGGATTGCCACCAGTTTGAGGCCAGCATGGCCTACACATTGAGTTTAAGGCCAGCCTGAACTACATAAAAAAAGACTGTTTAAAAAACCAAACCAAAGCCAGGAGTGGTGGTGCACACCTGTAATCCCAGCACTTGGGAGGCCGAGGCAGGAGGATTGCCACCAGTTTGAGGCCAGCATGGCCTACACATTGAGTTTAAGGCCAGCCTGAACTACATAAAAAAAGACTGTTTAAAAAACCAAACCAAAGCCAGGAGTGGTGGTGCACACCTGTAATCCCAGCACTTGGGAGGCCGAGGCAGGAGGATTGCCACCAGTTTGAGGCCAGCATGGCCTACACATTGAGTTTAAGGCCAGCCTGAACTACATAAAAAAAGACTGTTTAAAAAACCAAACCAAAGCCAGGAGTGGTGGTGCACACCTGTAATCCCAGCACTTGGGAGGCCGAGGCAGGAGGATTGCCACCAGTTTGAGGCCAGCATGGCCTACACATTGAGTTTAAGGCCAGCCTGAACTACATAAAAAAAGACTGTTTAAAAAACCAAACCAAAGCCAGGAGTGGTGGTGCACACCTGTAATCCCAGCACTTGGGAGGCCGAGGCAGGAGGATTGCCACCAGTTTGAGGCCAGCATGGCCTACACATTGAGTTTAAGGCCAGCCTGAACTACATAAAAAAAGACTGTTTAAAAAACCAAACCAAAAATAAATAAATAAATAAATAAATAAATAAATAAATAAATAAATAAATAAATAAATAAAATTAAAAAATAATAATAAAAAACCAAACCAAAGCCAGGAGTGGTGGTGCACACCTGTAATCCCAGCACTTGGGAGGCTGAGGCAGGAAGATTGCTATGAGTTCAAGACCAGCCTGGGCTACACAGTAGTTGAGTTTCAGGTCAGTCTCACCTACATAGGGACCCTGTCTCAAAAAACCAAAAACCAAACCAGACCAACAAACAAAAATAAAATAAAGTAAAGGAAACTTATATGACAATTATGGGCTGCACACATAATTGTCATATGCCTTTTTATTTTTTGATTTATATATTTATTTACAGTGCTAGGAATAAAAAATTAGAGACTTATGATTGCTATGCAAGAGCTCTACCACTGAGCTTCGCCAACCATTCAAATGCCTTTAACAAAATTAGTTTTAGCCAGTAATTCACATGCACTGTGCTTGTGCTCTCGCGCGCGCACGCACGCACACACACACACTTTACCCACTGGAGTACGCAATAATTTTGGTACAATGAAAATTGTGTACTCATTACAACAGTTAACATCAGAATGTTTTCATCACCCTACAAAAAAGAAACTGCATACCCGCTAGCAGTTGCTCCTTCCCACAAAAAGCCCCAGTCCTCAGCAACCACAAATGTGAGGATTTGCCAGTTCTATTGTTTGTTCACACAGCAAAGTTCTCAAGGTTACTAGGGGTAGAGCAGATACCGTTTCCTCTTATGTCCATTGAGTGGCTACACACTTACTGTCCATTCATCACATTATATACACTTAAAATGCTCCCACCACAAAGAGGGGGTTTTATGAAAAAAAAAAATGCTATGAACATTCCTGTACATGTATTTGTACAGGCACCATGCACTTTTTAATCTGCATGATTACAGTAAATATAAAATGCAGAAAAGTAACAGAAAAGCCACCTATAAAGCTGCGTGCAGGGTCAGCATCTGTTTGGCAAGCATAAGGTCGGTCCTCAGTTTGATCCCGGGTACCAAGAGGGGGAAAAAAACAACCGATGGGTGCAGGGGCACATCTGTATTTCCAGCACTCAAAAGGTTGAAGCAGGAGGACTGAGCTCAAGATCAGCCTGAGATACACATAGAGATCTTGGCTCAAAAAAGGAAATAAAGCCAATTACGGTGTACATGTAATTCCAGTACTCTGGGAGGCTGAGGCAGTAGGACCCAAAATTCAAGCCCAGCCTTGGCAATTAAGCAGCAAGACCTTGTTTCAAAATAAAAAATATGAAAAAGGGAGTGGGGATGGGATGTAGTTTAGTGTGAAGGCCCTGGGTTCAAGCCCCAGGGCAATGGGGAGGATAACCCCATCCATATATATATATATATATATATATATATGTAAACCATTACTGTTTTAACATATTATACATTGGTCTTTTCATATTTTCTTTTTTTTGTTTGTTTGTTTTTTGAGACAGGGTCTCACTATATAGTTGAGACTGACCTGGAACTCACTATGCAGCCCATGCTGGTCTCCAACTCACAGTGATCCTCCTGCCTCAGCCTCCCGAGTGCTGGGTTTACAGGCGTGTGCCACCACTCCCAGCTCTATATTTTATCATTTAAAAAATCTTCAGAGGTAAGCACAACTACATGACCCCCAATATATATCAAAAGTCAGCAATATCACATCACCAATATGGGTTTAAAGGTAGGATTCAAGTTGTCTATTTTATACCACATTATAAACCAAATTACTTTGAAAGACAGAAATGATTAGACACAAAATCTGTTTCAATAAATAGAAAAGTTTATAAAACAATTCACTTAGAATCTGAAACCTTGGTACATTAAAGTTAGGAATGTAGATGACACAGCCACTTTGGAGAAGTCTGGAAGCTGCACAAAATTAGGCATATATACCTGTTACCTCAGGACTTCTGGAGACTGAGGCAGGAAGAACTTAAAATTTCTTTTGGTGGTACTGGGAACTGAATCTAGGAACTCTGCGCTGAGCTACTTCCCTGGCACTTTTAAAAATACTTAAGTCATCACATTGCCTGGGCTGGCCTTAAACTTTCAGTCCTCCTGCATCCAAGAGTGCTAGGATTCAAATGCTTCTCCGAAATGAACCAACACACAGAAAGGACAAACCCTGTTCCCCACAGTGGCACACTGATGCCAGAGACTTACTTTTATATGCTGGGATCTCTGGGCTGTATCCACTGGGTGCAAGACCTGCAGCCCACACATGTCACAGGCATCACCGTGCAGGTACACACAGTTCTCCCCGTAGCGACACTCTCCCACGGCAGCATAGGGGCAGAGCTGCTTCTTGGTCTCCACCGCAGCTGGCTCCTTCTCAGTCTCTACCTTGGGCATGGAGCCCTGCACCGGGGCCTCTGTACAGGCAGGGGCAGCTGCAAACACGTGAGAGGGTTGAGGGCCAAAAGTGAGGCGATGCTATCAACTACAAGGGAACTGAGAGCCTAACTGAAAAGACCAAGGAAGAAATGCGATTCAACTCCCAACAGTCGAATGAACTACTTTTTTTTTTTTTACTCTCGAAAAGCACAACTTTTCTTTAAGGCAGATGTTTCCAAGATTGGGTTTGAAAAATAGAAAGAATGCTTCTGTAATTCTTAAGGAATGAAATTTAATCTTAAAAAGTACTAGTCAAAGAGAGACTTTAGTTTTAAAATCATCCTGGATTTGTTACAACTGGGATTGAAACTGTTTCTCTGTCTCATCTCAGGTGAGCCAATTTTGAGCGTTACGAGCAGGCTGCACCTAGGGCTGGGCGAGGAAGGCTTTGGTGCTCAGCTCATCAGGGCCATGCTCTGCGGATACTCACTGCGGCCACAGTAGGGCTGCCCAGGCACGAACTCGATGGCGTTCACCCAGTCCTCAGACCCTGCACCTAGGGTGGGGAAGTGCACGTTTCTGGACTCAGCCTCGCCCATATTCATCTCCACGAGGGCTCCAGCGACAGAGGAGAGGCTCGAGGCGGCAGCAAGGGATGGTTTTGCAGGTAGATCTGTAGCAGCCACTTCTTCCTGTTTCAATGGCTTGCTGTGCTCATATCTGGAAAGAAGGAAAAAAAAAAAAAAAAAAAAAAAAAAAAAAAAAAAAAAAA